TGGCACTGGTACCTCAAAGTGAACGCTGAGATTAACATAGGCTTCTTGTTCGAGGTGTTTCATCAACGCGTTATTTGCGCTTTCCTCATTGAGATCGCCCTCATCGACGTCACTTGAGACTAAAAGTGTCTCCATGGATTCACTGAGGCTCTGGGCGAGGGAATCAGCACCATATGTAACGTTTGCTCTTGCAGGCTCGGAGCAACCGGCGGGTGTCTTCAAACGGTTCTGCGCCACGCGCTTCATGTCAAGCGGTTATGTGCACCTATACCAACCCCATCCCATATTACCACAGTTGTGGCACGTGAGGTCTGGGTTCTCGGTTCGCCTCCGAGGCCACGCTTTATTTTGATGCGTGCGGTGTTGATTTTTCGCAGACTGGAATGAGGGGGTGGTCGGGGAACAATGGACGCGCGACTGCGTGGCTCTCTGCCATAACGACCCTAACCAGCCAAGTTGGTCGACATCCAACGTGAACTGCGAAGCGTGTTGCTGCTGCCTGAAGAACTCTGGATGTAGGCTGCCTGATGCTTCGTGGATTGCTGGAGTGTGTATTCAAGATGCTCGATCAGGGGATGATACTTCAGCTCGTTGGCAGTGACATCGACAGCACTGTGCGGGCCCACTCACGACCAAGTGCAGCTTGCTGTGGGTGTAGCATCTTGGCCCTGTCTGTTCGGTCCTCGGGGTGAGACATCGGGGTGAGCCGATCGATCTCATCAACGGTGGCTCGAAATGCTTGGGCTTCCGTGACATCATCAATGTGGAATTGCGATATGCTTACTTCGTTCAATCGGTGTGAGATTGAATCCTGCTCGGCGGCGGATGCATATCGATCGTGAAAACGTCGAACGACTTCTCCTCAGTTGGTGATTCTACCTTCCACGTCGTTGATGAAGAATTGGAGTGCGGCTCCGTCGAGGAGGTAGTGCGTGTAGCTTATTTTGTCCGCACCAGTGACCCCGTTTTGATTGCACATGAATTGGTAGCGACTAAATTTAGTCAGCCAGTCCTCGTCCATCTTACCCCAAACTTTTGCCTGTCAGATGCGTAAGCGACACTCATTCCTCTTGCGGCGCTGCTGGTGTTGCTAGTCCCAGAATTACGAGGGTGTGCATGGTGCCCGGTCTGATGCGCTTGTGAAATTCGGGGTCAGGGGGCAACGCAAAGGGGTGTGTGGCATGGCTTTGAGTTCGGCTGCCGGGTGAACTTGGGACAAAATCTCCACGTTTGATTGCCTTGAACTGCGCGATGGCTTTGTTGCGCTCTTCCAAATTTTCTGGGCGGCACTAGATCGTGTGAAGGAGACGGTTAAAGATGAGACCTCCGGAGGCACCGGGGGCAGGAGTATCAACGCCACGGTCGTTTAGGAAGAAACGAATCTTTATATAGATTTCATAATTGACTGTCACCATGGGATCCACGAGTTCGCGCGGTTCAAGGTCCTCACAGATCTGTTGTAAGAGAGCATCGCATCTGGGAACTGGGTACTGTACGGAGTAACCGTTGAACAGATTGTAGAGACCCTTTTGATGTGCATTACTCAAGCGTATGTTGCCAAATGGGCCAATTTGGAGATTTTGAGGAGCGCCTGAAACGGCAGGGATCGGGCAGGAGCAGTCGGGGCTAGTGACTAAGGAGGGGACGTTAGGTCCATGTTCAAAAACTCCTTCTTTCTTTCAACCGTGTCGTTCCTCTCTGAAGTGTAAGGATGACAAAGAAGTCTTCCTTAATTCCGGAAAACCTCTATGACCATGTTTTTCCTTCTTGAGTCAGGTCTGATTCTGACGCAGGCGCACTGGAGCCTGAGTCGTTCCTAGCTCGGAACGCGAATCGGGTGAAGACGTAGGTACGGATCCGCGGAGGAGGGCACCGCCAAGGTAGCAGTAAAGCTTCAGTTGTTTATTCGTGATCGTCTTGGCCGAGACTTCTCAACGTTACTTCGCAGTGACAGATGAGAATGGGAAAGTGTTGATTGGAAAAACGAATACCTTTGCATGATTAATTCGACCGCAGAACGGCAGTATGAAGCAAGCACTGCTAACGTAAACGCAAATGTTCATGGCAATGAAGCTGTAGTTGGCTATTGCGTACTGCGGATAGGATGAACATGCTACCATCTTCACATCTGCACAATGCAGAGACTGAATGGTCCAACTGAGTATGAAGGTGAACAGAGCAGGGGAAACAAATGTGAGAACTTTAATGTGGCGGGACAGATGGAGGTGATCTTTGTTCTTTTAAAAGCTAGAGGGGCTTAGCACAACGCTTTTGGCTAGACAAACAGAAAGTGGTACGTTGGATTGAGATAAACAGTTGCAATGAAACAAGCATGAGATTTATTGAGAGAGTACACAAACAGTGACAAACATTGAGATCGCTGTAGATGAACGAAGAGGGTAGAACTTGGAACGGTTTCTGTTCTTCTTCATATCTACGCGAACCATCACAAAATCGCAGGGCCTGGCTCAGTTGGCCCAAAAGTTACATGATAAACTTGGAACTTGTAACATTTTACGTAAGAGACACTACCCGCTTACATTACCAAAGACGTGACCTACAACAAATATCTAAATAGAAGACTACAGTGGACAGTCCCCAAGCATCAATGTTTCACAGTTCTATCCTGGTTTTGAGAAGCGTTGTCCTAAGGTACTTGTAGAAAAGTGAACAGTACTACAAAAAAGGGAAGACGAACTAATGCTTTTGGACAAGGTGATTGTGTGTGAGAGATAGACAACTTTTGACGTTCAGGGGGGCACACGGATAAATAGGGAATCTCTGCTTATTACCACGCAACAATGCTATGATTAAAGTATCATGAAGCAAGTCAGGTGGACACAGAGTTATGCACCCAATGCATCAAAAGAAAAGGCGACATTATAGAATGTGAATTTTGTGGCAACTTTTAACGGTTGATGGACAAGCACAGCATGTATATCTTTCTAATTTTACTTTTTTAAACATACTGTTCGTGTCCTTCCCAAATGGACTGACTTCTCCATTCTTCAAAAGGATGGCATGGAACTACTCTGTTATTTATATGCCATACCTAAAAGACTTGTCACAGGAGGAGTACAGTATCGAGTAGTAATAAAGAGGATGGTTGGGGAGACTGAAAGCGAAGGACATAAGCGATTGTATGGAGACAAGTAATAGAATGAGTTCATAGTTTATTTTAGTCTAGCATGTACTGTATTGTTCTAAGTTTCAGTTACGATTTCTATAAAAGGCGCGGAGTTCGGACGGGGAAAGCAAAAGGGGGCAGGTAAAACCTCTCACTAACCCTGAGAGCCACCCAACTGCAACCCCAGTGTGTCCAACTTAAGAACCGCTTTGCAAAAACCATTCAACACAAGTAATTCACTCTGTTCATTTTATTAACCCTGCGCACCGCTAAACAATTATTTGAGGTTTGAAAATGCAACAGAGTTAATGCTACGCAGAGGAGACAAGAGCAACTCCCAGGCGACCACAACTCGGATAGCAACGAAATGCAATTGCATTAATAATGCAGATAGTGCAGGTTGACAGCGCCAAAGGGCGCAAGCTACTAATATAAGTAGAGCAAGTCCGATGACTCATAGCAAAAGAAAGAGGGAGGACAGAGTTTTACCGGTGGGGAAAGACGACCCCACGAGCCCGTTGTGCTCTCACATATTGTCTGTAGAATAACGTGCCACCCCTTAATTTATCCCTTCAGGTCTATCACGGCACCTCACAAATGGGAGAACCCACAACTTTGAATTAAAAGAAGTGCCTTAAACTTCCTTGTGCAAGACTGTCGGTCCTTCGATGTTGTACTTTGCCTTAAAGGATCTTATGAGAGACGTAAGTGTTTCACACATCCCTGCAGAACTTTGTACATCTTGCGTCAATCTGATACTACCAAGCGTTTTTTAAAACCACATGCACTCAAAAACTTTTCAGTTTTTGAGTGCGTGTGGTTTAACGTCGAAGCGAAATAGCAAGGCGCCGCGGCGAACCTGTAATTTCGTACAGCATGAACACTGTGATGGGAGTGCCAACTAATTTACCCGGTGGGTCAGACGTTAAGAAATAATTATTACTGTCCTGAACGCTTACGAAATAATTACGCGATGTTTCCCGCATCTGCTTCACATGTTCGTCTACAAAACATGGAAGTGGTAGTAGTATTAATGAGCGAGTAGCCACGATAAGTAAAAGAGCAAGGAAGGATAGCCCCACTTTCTTCAACACACTGGAGTTAGGCTATCAACTCACTACAACTGAGAGTACCACTTCTACTGTTCATATTCCTACTTTGAGATATCACTGCCCTCTGCGTGGTGGAAAAAGCTGAACGATTTTGCTGTGTCTGTGTGTGGTGCAGGAATGATACCCTCTCTTTACTCTCTGATCCTGCTCTCACTACACTAAGTCCGGCGGTTTCATGCCGTCGTGGGTGAACCGGTGAGCGTGTGTGATGTGTGCTACGTGTGTACGTGTATGGGTATCATCACAGTCTGTAAGACTTCAGGCGACGATCATTTTGCATTAGCATCGTGCTCCTTCACAGTTGAGCGGAGGGTCTAAACTGGGGCATCAAGTCCGACTTTCCAGATTGCATCACCTCCTATTTTTCACATTGTTTTAAAGATAAAAAAAAGCTGAATAATGACTAGGATACACACCACAGAAAAGTTCGGTCCCTTTTTTTTAGGCGCCGCGGAACGGTCAGGTCCTCCACCTGTCCCCCCCCGACCCCCACGTATGCCCCATCTGTGCGCCCCACCTGTCATCACGGCAACAAGTCCACTGATGAATCAACTCTTGGATTATCGGAGCATCTGGTGCCAGTTGAGCAGACAAAAATTTGCCAGCATATTTCTGTCGACGGGGATGCGCACACGATGAGGGGCGTTAACTGTCCCCCGTGCGAAACTTTATGGGCACTCGCACGGACTGCGTTGTGCCGCGGCGAAGGCAGAACAGTTTGGGCAAAGAGACGTGATGTCAGTGAAAACTGATATATCTGTATGGGCCACAAACCGCTTCTCTTCAACTTCTTGTTGCACCTTCGTCTTCCATTGGCCATCACTGCGGCAGAGGATATTGTACCTACACAAGCATCTTTGCCCCCCGGTTTTGGAGTTGTTTTGTTTTTCTTCATGTCGGCTGGAGGGATGGCAACGAGGTCCTATTGTTGGCTGACCAGCGCGAACGGTTACATCCTCCGTTTTACTTTGCTCCCGGACTGCATGCGCCAATAAACATTACAAAATGTCCCAGACTCACCTTCTTTCCACCGATGCAGACCGACGCTCCAGTCCTTCGTGAGCAGCTGCCATCTCAAAAACTGGACGTGTAGTAGTTGATGTGTAGTCAACGAAGAGAAGAAGAAACGCAAACTCTCCGACGTCTTTATCTTCCACCCTTACTCAAGAGCATCGTCGCCTCACTGGTTGATGCACATTAACACAGTGCTGGTCGCACTTCCATGGGTAAGCTGCGCAAGCTGCTTGGACAGTGGGGTTTCCAGGTACAACACTGTGGAGATACCATTACTTTTCAAATTACAAGAAAACAATCACTTTCTTCTAAAATTGCACACTCACTCTCACGCAGTCGCGTTCCCGTCGCCCTATTGCAGAGCTAGGCTGTACATGCGCGATGGATAGATACGACATGCACATACGCAGTGTTCGTTGTCTTTTGGAAGCACTCTACAACCGTGATAGAGACACCAGTGCACAAACAGCTCACTAATAAATCTTCCTACACCAGACCTTAAACAGGCGACTTAGAGATGCAAAGTAGGATTACGGGTCGCCTTGTGCTCTCTGTCCAGAGCGTCATAAGTTTATGGAGCTGTGGACGCGGTTGTTGCGCCGTCATTTGTATACGGAGCAAGCTTTTCTCCGCGAACTTGGGCCAAAGGCGTAACCGCTGGAGATCTGCGCTGCATGTTGCTATCCAAATCAGGCCACCGCAACGAGGCTACACGCCAATGCCAGAGATCTGCGTTGCGTGCTGCTTTCCGCTTCAGGTATTCACTTGTAACTTACTGAACTCAAACCCCTTTTCTCTGGGGCTTGCAGTCAGGCAATCACTTGTCTTCACTTCTCATTCACTTGTCATCAACCTCAACGCCAAACACTTTGCGGAAGGTAGGGCTTCAGCAAAACTGCGTGTCGCCCAATCTTCTGAACAAGCTCCCTGGCCTAACCTCTCATGACTATTCGCTTCGCTGTGTCCCCCCCATCACCAACCCTCCTCCCCAGCCTACTCCGAGAAGTACATCACATACAAGCATTGCCGTTAGTGCCTGCTCCTTCCTAGAAATGGTCTTCTTGCTCTCCATATAAGACCCAAATCCGTCTTTCTCCCCTCAGGAAAGTTTCGTGAACAACCCATATCTCCACCATCCCCACTACACAATCCTGAGCACCTTAGAGATGTCGCCCCGTTCCTTCTTTCTCGTATTCTTCCTCTCCATCGCCTTGTCCTGCCCGTGCCGCCGACCCAGCCTCGCGCGAACGTACTACAATCGTAGTGTGGGCAATTTCTTCAAGGCCACCGTCTTGTTCTCCAGCCCCGGAGTCCGGGGTAGCCTGACTTACAGACTTTCCATTGCAAACGACTACAAAGGGTGTGGAGATCCCATGTTTTCTCCGTTCCTCCCAAGGCCTACGGTCTCCAGGGTGCCGCAACCCCGCAAAGATCGCGGATTGCGGGATACGGTTGAAGTTGTTTTCTGAAGTTGTAATTCCGATTCGCAAGGGGCGACTGGCCTCCAGCATAATTGGGACAGAAGTTTCTAGTTGTGACCTGAGTGACTTGTCCCATACGAGCTCTCTCCATCTCGTTCAAACCGACACTAACCTTTCTTGACGCGCGCTGAACACATCTCCATCATATGTACGCTACCATCCCTGTCTACCTCCACGGCGCAGTTCATCAAGGAGTTCTCGAAGCTTTCCAAAGAGGAGCGCTCCTTCCTTCAATCACGTCAGGTCACTTGCGGACGAAGGACTAGGTGTTCGAACTTTTAAACGGCCAGTCTCCTGCCCTGTCGAGCCTTGTCGGCGCAGTAGAAAGCCTTGCCCGGCGGCAGTTGAATGCCGCAACAACAAATGCGGCTCCTGCAAGGCCGAGTGGTTCAATCGCGCGGGCTTTCCCGCTTGCGGAAGGCTTGTCTAGTGTCTTGCAAGTATGAATTAGTTTCGGTCTTTAGAGTCGGGAGGGGCATGACTGCGAGCGAGAATGTTTTCATATTCTGTCGCATTTGCACCACCTCGTCATGACGAGTTTGAAATGAGCCTTTTGGAATGTGATATCTACTCGACATCGACAGGGATTCAGGTTGCATGCCCGCAGTAATATCTATATCTCCTGGAGCCTAACTCGTTTTTCCAAAGCAAACCGTGAATTCTTTTGAGCTTTCCATCCTTCATCCTTCATCCTTCATCCTTCATTTGAAGCGCCGCAGGGAAGCAATCCAGGTCAAGCAGATCTGTGATACGGATTTCGCTCTAAAATGACTTTAGAGCACTAACAGTGGCTCAGTTCTACCTTCTTTGTTCTACCTTCTTTGTACATATCTCCCCTCCGAGAAGACGCCGGTACACTGTTGACGTTGGTCAGCCGAGGAGGCTGGAAGGAGATAGGCCTTTGTGCCGATGACCTACTCATTGCTCGAAGAGACCGATTATCCTTAGAACTGTGCATGACGCGCCCGTGTCATGATGGAACGGAATCCCTTCAAGAAGAACGGTGTGTCACACAACGACCTGCTTCGATTATCTTCATGTTAAGGAAGTGGAGCTGTGTACTCGTTTTGGTGTTACTTGCCCTGTGTGCTTTCAGTCATCAATACAACCCTTGGATCAAGAAACTTGTAATGTACCACAGTGCGATACAGACATGAAACTCAAATTTCACTGATGGCATCCAGAGCTTGGTCGCATATTTTGTGACACAGACTAGAGACACCGCCCGTTGATATGCCAACAACTTCAAGTCCTTTGGTTACAAAGCACACAAGTACGGCTGCGGATCGTATTCTGCACACGCAACCACACAAACATAAAACAAAAAGAAACCTTCCACCCTCAATATTGTAGACGGGTAGCTATTTTGTGCACATGATTCCCCAGGCCAACTTTAATTTGAAGATGCCTCCCTATTTTGCTCTTTAGTGTTCACCGCAGCAGGAGTATGCCGTGATTATTCTACCTTTTTCGCCCACAATCAATCGTCGTTCGACGAACCTGCTACAATTCCAAAATTTCAAGCAAGTCACTTGCTTCGGGATGATTCACTCTCGGAACGCGTGGGCTACTTGTCTTACATGATAGCCCGTTCGTGTTTCGCTGACAAGCGGAAGTAAAAAAGCTGGAGGGATGGATAATTTGCAATGTGAAGGATTGAAACTTTACTGGCAGCGACTTCAAAATGGTTATCTACTTAACAAGAATGCTCATTTGACAGAGTCATAACCTCTCAACTTGCGTGAGAGCTTATGTAGCGATTCGCCTCTCCACCCCGAGAAAGACGCAGGGTTCCGCTGCGGTGAACTGCCTCCCGACGAGAACATTTCGGTTCTCGCTACTGTGCAAATGTACTTCTTCCCGACAAACAGAGACGTCGATGCCGATACAGGTCGAGAAGGTGATGAACACAGGGAGAAGGAGGTCTGGCTTAAACCATCGGTGCGTCCGTCGGAACGATGATATCACAGCACGTCCAGCCCCTGCGACCGTTCCTTCTCTCACATCGAGACATTTCGCATCTACCGAGAAGACGCTTGCGGGTGCACTGGATTCTGGCGCGACGGAAGCTCCTTCGACCAACAAGGCAGGAGCAAGGACAGTCCGGGAGTCCAGACTCTTGCCCCAATGCGGATGAAACGAACACAAGGCAGAGGACGAGAACGAAGATGATGGGAGACTTCATTGTTTGAAATTGCACAGGTTGTTGGCGGATTGAGTTGGTGGTAGTGGTAGCGGTGGGTGAGGAGGGGGCAGGAGTGAAGTGGGCAGGAATTCTGTGTGAGCTTTAATAGAATCGGCAGAGTAGAGCAACGATCATCGGAAAAGGGTAGGTGGTAGGTGGATGACAGTAGAATCAGGGTGAGGCGGAGTTTACGGGAATTGAAGTCTCTGTAGATGTCATAGGTGTCTGGTAGTGATTGCAACTCTTTTGGCGCCAATGGTTTCTCAGGCGCAGAACGTAGTGGCCTTCGTATGTAGTGGTTGGTGGGTCACGATGGCAGCACAAGGCTCAGAATTTGGACGAAAAGTGACACGTCCGGACGGAGAGCGGAGAGTGCAGTCACATCGTGGGTGTTTTTCTACAGAGCGAATAAGTTACATGTCGACATGACAGTCCTGTGGGTTTCAAATTTTGGTTGACAGTCGACAGCTCGTGCTTGAAGTGTCGAAACTAGACCTGAGGTCCTTGATTTATTTCAGCGGTGCCGCATGCGAGAAAGTGCGGCTGCGCAAGGCGGCGTTCGCTTCAGGGCGTCGGTGCGCGAAACACGGAGCCCCAAAAGGGGTTGCCGATTCCGGATCGCAAACTGCTGTGATACAGACAGCAAGCGGAGTGGCTCTACAGTCGAGCACTAGCTGTTGTTGTTGAGGCTCTCTTGAGTAAAGTTAGTATGTCCGAGGTAAAACGCTTGTGTCTTTTCTCCTTCGTCGTGTGCCATCGCTGTCTGGAAATATACCGAACGGCAAATTGCTGATAGCAAATCGTCTACTCTAAGCGAATCTGACTATCCCAATGGACGGAATCACGTAATCATAAACAAATGCAGCGATCCTGTTGGCACTACTGTACAAGAAAGTCTCGGTGTTGTTCTTAGTGCCAGACCGATCGTTCTCACGACCCGTTCTCATTTTTCTTGATAGGCTTTTTGCCCTAAACTATATTGTCCGCCGTCAGTGGCTACTGCCAATCAACGACGGTGAATGAATAGCCCAGCCCCTGAGGACAGTCCGCGCTGCACCGGGTGCTGGGTTTACTTTAATACGGTCCCACATACTGTACAGTCGTTGGACCTCCACTAGCGCCTATTTGGGGCCTCCACGATGCCACGATGTTGCACGCAAGAGGGCTCCAACAGGCACACATGTAAGAGCGCCAGGTAAGATTCTTCGAGGGATCAAATTGACATGATGCTCGGCAGAAAATCGAGGTTCCTTACGTAAAGTTATAGGTGGCAAAGTGACGAGAGCGACTACGTGGCGGAACCGACTGTGTAAGT